TTTTTTATTGCTTAGATGCGTGGACGAGCTCACAGCCTACCTGGTGTTAAGTGGTTACTGGAGCCCATAGACATCTACAACGTAAATGCGCCACTCACCTTGAGACATAAGTTCTCAGCTCTCAATACAGTTACAACGGCTGCCCTGTCCTTCAAACCGAAACGCTTTACTGCTTCACGGCAGAAATAGGCAGGGTGGTGGTACCTACCCGCGCGGAACCGCAAGACGTCCTACCACCTAATTACGCAAATTATAATTTTGCACGTTCGATTTTTATTACGCGATGTTATTCCTACAGAGTGGAAGTTAATCGTGAACATTTGTTAAGTATCATTAGAAAAATTGGTACTCGCCTGCGGGATTTGAACACCGGTGCATCGCTCAACACGAATGCACCGGACGTCTTATCCTTTAGGCCACGACGACTTCAAATGCCTTGCCTTGCATGCCTTGAAGTTATATCAGATAACTAACAATTACAACAACACCAAGGAAATAGTTACCTAACTCTGATTAGTTTTAGTTAATTCTTTTTTTTCTTCTTTTTTTTTCTTTTTTTTTAATATTAATTATTTTTTTATTATAAAAAAAAATATGTTTATTAGTTTTATTAAATTTATTCTTTTAGTTAATTAATTTCAATTAAGTTTAACTAATTTTAGTTAAGTAAATAGTAAGTGTTGGTAAGTCTGTCGCATCCTTCAAGCCTCAAGCCATGATTGGTTTACGGCAGAAATTGCCCATTGAACTTCTCGCCGGATCTTCTCAGTGGGTCGCGTTTCCGATCCGGTGGTAGATTCAGTGACGCACTGCTCTTGCTAGGGTTCGTGTTAGCAACGTCCTCAGGTTAGAGCCCCGTGAGCTCACCTACTCGCCCGGAGAAACTAGTATAACCCTTCGAGGTTACTAGAATAGGTAGGGGAAAAAAGCTTACCCGTACACTTTTTTTTTTATGATTGAAGGATTACTGGTGGCCCGGAGGCCTTTCCAGTTTCACCAGGACAGGTGGGCGAGCAAAGGCTCAGCCAGGAGGGGTGGGATTTGCTAACAGCTGCCCGAGCGCCTCCGAAGGAGACCTAACAACTCAAGAGCAGCTGCTTCGCGAATGAATCTACTACCGGATCGGAATCGCGACCCGCTGAGAAGATCCGGCGAGAAACTCAGCCAGCTGATTCATGGGTTAGGTATGCACACAATACGTCATATATAAAATTTGAGTAAAGATATCCATAGGCTCCGCCGACCGCTTATGACCGGGAGCGCATTCAGACTACAGCTCAATAAAAACATTTACCTTAACACTGCAGCGCAATAATAATATGTTACCCGCTCACACTAAATAAAGCCTTGTTTACACTGTACAAGTCTAACTGTTAAATGACGTGAACCATATCTCGCTGCGCACTTGTAATGCAAGCAATCAAGTGTATTTTTAGTTTCTTAACAGTCACGATTACCGTTTTTATTTTATTAATGTCCTGCATCTCCTTTTTATTTTATTTTTTAATTTTTTATTTATAACTTCATATACTAGAAAGTATAAAGGCGGACTTAATGCTATAGGCATTCTCTAACAGTCTACCTTAGGGGAGTGCAGAGATGAAGCTTGGTAGGTGTAGTTTGAAGGTGATATTACTTAAACATATGTGTGTATGTATATAACATACATAATATTTATAGATAAAAATACTCGTACTTAAATAAATACATGTACATAAATATATACATATCATAAATATATACATATAAAATCATATATAAACAAATATTATCCTTTTCTTCATCTCCTTTTTATCATTGCACCTCCCGCCATCGGAGCAGAGTTCATCCATATTATCTGGAACCGCTGCGTTCATCGCCAGTGCGTTTCCAGAGATCCCTTTGGAATGAGCTCCCCTCCACGGTGTTTCCCGTGCGCTATGACATGTCCTTCTTCAAACGAGGCTTGTGGAGAGTATTAAGCGGTAGGCAGCGGCTTGGCTCTGCCCCTGGCATTGCTGACGTCCATGAGCGACGGTGACCACTTACCATCAGGCGGGCCGGGGGTCGTGGGTTCGATTCTCACTTCGGACGAACACTGGGTGATGAATAAGTTTTTTTTATTGCCCTTGTAGGCAGACGAGCATACGGCCCACCTGATGGTGAGTGGTTACCGTCGCCCATGGACTTCAGCAATGCCAGGGGCAGAGCCGAGCCACTGCCTACCAATATTATATAGTAGATATGTTTATTCTTTGTGTGGGTGTTTGTTATCTATATATCGAGGGGTGAAAGGTTATTCGGTTTAAGTGACATTTCGCTTAATAGGTACGCAACATTTATATTTATAACTAGCAGCTTGAAGGGTGGGGCAGCCGTTGTAACTATACTGAGACCTTACGACTTATATTTCAAGGTGGGTGGCGGCATTTACGTTGTAAATGTCTATGGGCCCCAGTAACCACTTAACACAAGGTGGGCTGTGAGTTCGTCCACCCACATAAGCAATAAAAAAAAAAAAAAAACAAAAAAAAATTAAAAACTTTCAGATTTTTTTCTAAGATAAGCTTAAGTTACTCCTAATATCATCAGCTACTTGTCAATGAAAGTCTCGTCAAAATTGGTCCAGCCGTTCCAGAGATTAGCCGGAGCAACGCATCGAAGTCTTGTCTTTAAAATTATATCTATATGTACAACTGGCGACCCGCCCTCGCTTCGCTTCGGAAACATTAAATTATATTATTATTGACAGCTGAGTCCCGCGATGTTCGCGGGTGACGCCGCGGGGCGAAGCTAGTCTAAAAAAAGCAGCCTAAGTTACTCCTTATACCATCAGCTACCTATCTGTGAAAGTCTCGTCAAAATCGGTCCAGCCGTTCCAGAGATTAGCCGGAACAAACAGACAGACAGACAAAAATTGTTAAAAATGTTGTTTTGGTGTATGTACCGTATGCCAATGCCAAGGGCAGAGCCAAGCCTGCCTACCGTTGTGAAAGATTTTTGCGCCATTTTTTAAGTGAAACTTTGTTACCGGTGTGTAGTATTGTAGTTTTCTTCATTTTCAAATATTTTTTCTTGAGGCACACGCAGTTGCTCTTAAAGCATCAACGGATGGCGTGGATCGAGGAAAGAATTGGGAAAATCAAGTTAAGATAATTACTACTGGCTTTTGCAAGCAAGGTTGGTAATGTTTACGTTGCAATGCCTATATTTGGTCACAGCTCAACACCAGTCCGGTCCTGAGTTCGCCAATCATTTAAAGCAGTGGCTCTCAACTATAGGGCCGCAAAATTTTTGCGTGCCGCCATAGTTAAAAATTGTCCTCATTATTGAGTCGCATTCCCCAAGTCTGAGGGTCGTGACCATCCCTCCCATTATTTTTCTCTGGATGATGTTTCGCCATCTTGGTATCCTTGCCGTGGTATCCAGAGTGGTACGGATTTTATCGAGCCATTGGATTATTTATTAAATGAAGCATGGGATTAAAGATTGTATAAAGTAATTTTTATTTTTTATTTTTTTATTGCTTAGTTGAATGGACGAGCTCACAGCCCACCTGATGTTAAGTGGTTACTGGAGCCCATAGACATCTACAACGTAAATGTGCCACCCACCTCGAGATATAAGTTCCAAGGTCTCAGTACAGTTACAACGGCTACCCCGCCCTTCGAACCGAAACGCATTACTGCTTCACGGCGGAAATAGGCGGGGCGGTGGTACCTACCCGTGCGGACTCCCAAGAGGTCCTCCAGTGATTACGTAAATTATAATGTTGCGGGTTTGATTTTTATTACACGACGTTAGTCCTTCACCATGGAAGTCAACCGAGAACATTTGTTGAGTACGTATTTCATTAGAAAGATTGGTACCCGCCTGCGGGATTCGAACACCGGTGCATCGCTAAATACGAATGCACCGGACGTTTTATCCTTTAGACCACGACTTGTGAGTCCGCGCGGGTGGGTACCACGGCCCTGCCTATTTCTGCCGTGAAGCAGTAATGCGTTTCGGTTTGAAGGGTGGGGTAGCCGTTGTAAGTATAGTGAGACCTTAGAACTTATATCTCAAGGTGGGTGGCGCATTTACATTGTGGATGTCTATGGGCTCCAGTAACCACTTAACACCAGGTGGGCTGTGAGCTCGTCCACCCAAATAAGCAATAAAAAAAATATAAAAAAACTTCAATAACTATGTAGTTCAATAAATAAGTAAGAATTACATTGCTTTCTTTTTTTATAAGTAACGTATAAATTAGAAAAGAGCACTTCTTTTTTATTTTAAAATAATATAATATAATTTTATTGTTAATTGAAAACGAAATATAGTAGATATTATTTTACCAAAAGTAGGAACAATATTTTTTTTCAAACGAAACGTATCTAAATCCTTAAAAAATCCGTAAATATATTTATATATTTTTCATTGTATACTTTCGACCATTTAAATGTTTTAAAGTGTACTGCTTCAAAAGTTTGAGTATCGCTGATCTAGAGCAATAAGATTTTTTGTAGTATTCATCATTATTAGTTCTCGAACATTCTTATGAACCCGTTGATCATTAAGGCGTGTAAAAGTTGAAATTATATTTGGGCAACTTCCCATAAAATGCTCTGTCCTCAGATTAATGAAAGACTAGCCGTACTCGCCCGCTTTGCTGGGCCTTTAAAATTAACATTATTATTTATTGTCATTATTATTAGGGAGTCCAACACTTATATAAATATTAGCCTATCCATTAAGTACATGTATTTTGTACATGGATACCAAGTTTCAAGTCAATCGGATGCATGGTTCAGTAGTTATAACGGAACATCCGTAAAAACCAATATAGATTTTGCGGTAGGCAGCGGCTTGGCTCTGCCCCTGGCATTGCTGAAGTCCATGGGCAACGGTAACCACTCACCATCAGGTGGGCCGTATGCTCGTCTGCCTACAAGGGCAATAAAAAAAAAAAAAATATTAGTATAGATGATCAGTATGACAATGACATTAAGGATTTGCTTTTTAATTTGAATACTCACCCGTCACTTCCAACATAAGTCTCTTTTGCGGTAATGCCGTTATAATGAACCCGATTCTCGATTTCACCGTCCACTAAGTAATCAGTCATCACGAAATTAACAATTTCTTTATTTAAATGCCGCCTCAAATATTTTATATCACTTAGTTTATTCTTTACTGTCTCGTTCACGTTAGGCTGTATGTGGTTGTGCTTGTGCCTAAGATGGCTCGGCTCGGACACGTCAATGTCGCTGTCGTCGTGACAGTTGGTCGTGCCGAGCAAGAACAGAATGAGCAAAGGGGTCCGAAACATTCTGCCCCAAGATATGAGTTTAGCTAAGTTGGATTTTTTCTTCGCCTTCGGTGTTTTGAGCTCCATTTCGTTCCTGCAACAAAAGAAAGGTACGTGATCATTATTTTTTTTAACAAATCTATTCCCGTTAGAGACTATAGTTTTGGTTTTCTAAGTTCTAAGGTCTCAGTATAGTTACCGCGGCTGCCCCAACCTTCAAACCGAAACGCATTACTGCTTCACGGCGGAAATAGGCAGGGCGGTGGTACCTACCCGTGGGGACTCACAAGAGGTCCTACCACCAGTATTCCAAACAATATCTGACAGTCGAACTCTACGTAGGGATTCTGAAGTTACAGATTTCGTAACCCACAGACACAGCCCACTGAGTTTCTCGCCGGATTTTCTCAGTGGGTCGCGTTTCCGATCCGGTGGTAGATTATGCGAAGCACTGCTCTTGCTAGGGCTAGTGTCAGCAACGTCTTCTGGTCAGAGCCCCGTGAGCTCACCTACTCGCTGTGGTTAGGCTGGCATAGCCCTCTAGTTTACCAGATTAGGCGGGAAAACAATAAGAAAACAGAGTTAAGTTAATTTGACCAGAAAAAAAAAAGGGCGGGAACGTCAAACTAAATAGGCGCTTTTTTCAAGTTAATTTTAATTTATTTGGTTTTAGCCCTTTTTTACGACATTGTTTCCTAATTTTTCACTGTGTTTGAGTTTAAAACTATATTTCATAAGTGTGTTCCGTAATAATGGACGATGACGACGGGGGTGAGGGCTTCAGCTCCGCCCCTGTGTCCGCTCCCATAATAATGGGAAAAAGAAGAATGAAGTCATCTGAATACGACGAAAGCCGCAAAATAAAAATGACTTTCATTAAAAATAAGCGCGGTCTTTTTAAAGACCACCATGCTCTTTACGAAGNTATTCCTAATTCCATTCAAGGTATTTTAAAGCTTCCACAACTATTCTCAATAGTGTATAATTTTGTACTTCACACTATAGGACGACTATGAATGTATAATTCATGAATGTATCATAGGTCTCCTGCTTATGTGCAAGTTTAATTATTTTTTTATAACGACTCATATTCTTTTTTTGTTGTTTGTTGAAAGAAAACTTGTAAGTTTTTATATTTTTTATAGTAAGTTCTTGCAATTCATTTTGTCATTAATTTGTTATTTTCAATGATTTGTAATTGTTTCTTGGTTTGGTTTGTTTCTTTTATTTGTGTTTTATTGTAAGTTCTAGTTCATGTTCTATTTTTTTGTAAAATTAGTTTAAGCTGATGGCCGTGTTGCCAATGCTTTCAATAAATTAAAAAAAAAAAAATTAATTTGACCACAGACATAAAAAATAATAAAAGTTTAAGAATTGACAGTAAACAAAGAGTATATTTATATGTACGTGTTGTATCAAATACATGATAGTGTGTATGTTTTTTTTGTTATTGATTTAATGTATTTTTTATGGATACTAAAAAAAAATTAGCATTCTGCACTCCTTCTCTGTATTCTTTATAAGTGTAGGAAATATCATACTCCTCCGTCTGCGTAATTTCCGTATAAAGGGGTACAAAGTTTTTGCTTCACGTATTAATATATAGATATTTATAACTAATACTACGTATATAATAATATTATGTATGTGTATGGGTGTGTATATATTTCAATCGATAGATACGCTGCGTGTAATTTGTTTCCTAAAATATTTCTTATCCACCTGATGGTTGTCTGGAAGAGATCGCTATTAGCGATAAAATCGCCCATTCTACTTTTTTTTTTTTTGTATTCAATGTTTTGCATTTTTATTTCTTTTGAATACAATAAAGGATATGCCCTCTCCCTTTCTCTCTCTAAATAAAAAAAATCTAACTTCGCAGTAAAAAATGGCGCCTAGAAAAACGCTGATTCGTCACTTAAAAAAGCTCGTATTACGAAAGCTAAAACGTAACCTCTCTTGTACGTCTCGTATTCGAAGCGTAAGCATCTTTAATCCTTCACAATAAGGGCTAAATTCCCGTGATGGTAACACAAGCGTTATGACAATAATGATTTCTTTGTAATTCTAAACTGTAGGCGCATTGAAAAATGAGATGCCAAAGGATTTAGGCTTAGAATGTTCTTGGTGTTTTGAGCCGGTCTGGTTTAGACCCATAGTCCAGACTTGATTACAAGCAATAGACCGCATTTTGGGCCCAAACGGGTAGCTACCCCGTTCCTACCGATGTTGGAGAGTAGGATGCTTCGAATCAGGACGAGTAAGTGAGCTCACGGGGTTCAAACCTGACGACGTTGCTAACATTGGCCCCAGCAAGAGCAGTGCTTCGCAGAATCTACCACCGGATCGGAAACGCGACGCATTGAGAACATCCGGCGAGAAACTCAGTGGGCTGTGTCTGTGGGTTAAAGGAGACTGAAACGATTACATACATTTTTGGGCCCGAATGTAACGTGATGAAACTAATATGAATTAATAGATTCAGATTTATCAGTACCTTGCTGAAAATTATAAAAGTTTTCTCAATCTGAGAGCCGAGTTAATCAAGATTTAGTAAAAGTTAGGTTATGTTACAATCTCTTTAAAAGAGCTGAATAATAACTTATTTAAGCATAAGTAAATGTTTATTATATCCATTGGANAGTAAGTATCTACAGTCGGCATCGCTGCGCCACTTTGAGAAGACGGCACGACATGAGAACCCTCTTGTCGTGGCCGCTGGAAACTACATACCCGATCCTGTAGACCGAATGGTAAACCGTCGACGTCGCCCAAAGCACGTCATCACGGATCCTCCTGATCCATTAACGGTGCTTTTAGGCAATACAAGCACCGGTCACCGTCCTCGTCCAACCCGTCGCTTGCGACGAAGGGCTCGACGAGCGAATTAACCCACAGACACAGCCCACTGAGTTTCTCGCCGGATCTTCTCAGTGGGTCGCGCTTCCGACCCGGTGGTAGATTCTGCGAAGCACTGCTCTTGCTAGGGCGGTGTTAGCAATTCTCCGGTTTGAGCCCCATGAGCTCACCTACACAAGCTAGGGTAAGCTGAAATAGCCTCTCAAGGCTATCAGCATAGGTAGGGGAAAAAAAAGAGTCGTGGCATTCCGTGTCAGACAGTCATTCCGTCCGTCTCAGTCAGTGAGTCTCTGGCAGTCAATCAGTCAGTCAGTCAGTCAGTCGGTCTGTCGGTATGTGCAACGAAACTGTCGGTTTACCTTGTGAAAGTTGTGTGTGTTGAGTTTCAATAATTATTATTCAAAAGGTTTTATTGACTTTTTATAAACTGAGTTCAACCAAATACGAGTGATGACGGAACCTACCGCTCAGCCATCCCTGGCGCGCGCGCCGACATACATAAATATGTAGTTAGGAGTTGCATACGTTCTCAGTACCACTGCCGTATACGTGAGAGAAAGGGACACCAGACGGATAGTCGCTGTAACGCGTTACGCAACGAATCAGCTTACCCTCCAATAGGAAGTTTTTTATTTTTTATTTTTTTTTATTGCTTAGATGGGTGGACGAGCTCACAGCCCACCTGGTGTTAAGTGGTTACTGGAGCCCATAGACATCTACAACGTAAATGCGCCACCCACCTCGAGATATAAGTTCTAAGGTCTCAGTATAGTTACAACGGCTGCCCCACCCTTCGAACCGAAACGCATTACTGCTTCACGGCGGAAATAGGTGGGGTGGTGGTACCTACCCGTGCGGACTCCCAAGAGGTCCTACCACCTATCACTTCAATAATAAAGTTCACAAATAATCGTTTAGAAAAAAAAAACCTATAAATTCACTTTGCACTAATCTTTAGTGTAAAACATATTCTGTTATACCGAACTTGTGTAAATATTGATCATTAAAAATGTCACGTAAAAATTAATAATTAAACTAACCTAAACTATAATAGCATTATTAATAACGAATAAACTTAAAGTTTAAGCAGTCGATAAGTTTCGAATGAATATGGGCCATAATAATATCGAGGGCTGAAAGGCGATTTGGTTTAAGCGACATTCCGCTTAATACGCTACATTTATCTTTGTAATTAAACAATTTGATTTTTTTATTGAACTTCAATCAACTTGAGTAAATAGCGTAACAAAAAAAACTTCTTCACCTATTCTTTCCAAACTTTAAATATCTCTCCGGTCATCATCATAATCGGTTGCTCTTGGCAGAGCAGTCGTGGTCATGTGGAATTCTTACTCATTAAAGCCTTAACAGATGTTTTCCACAGTTTGCGAACCGAGGCCCGGCGCATACACTAGTTAAGTGGGGTTTCAGTAAGGTCTTTCACCTGATCAGTCCAACGCATGGGGATTCGTCCACGAGATCTCTTACCATTGACCCTACCCTGAACAACAAGTTTCTCGATAGACTCTGCTGGCCGACGCGATACGTGTCCAAAATATCGAAGAATCCTGGATTGCACTGTTGACGATAACCTGTGAGAGATATTTAGTTCTTTTAGGATCGAGGCGTTGGTGCGGTGCTCAGTCCAAGATATACGGAGCATCCTTCTCCAGCACCACATTTCTAATGCATCGATCCTTCTTTTTCTCTTTCTTTCACAGTCCAGGTCTCAACCCCATATAAAAAGATGGGGACCCCAGTGCCCTTACCAGTCGGACTTTGGTAGTCTTGGTGATATTCCGGTCCTTCCATACTTTTCCGAGTTTATCCATGGCCGATAGCGTTATGATTATGCGCCGCTTAATTTCGTCCTCCGAACCACCACTGTTAGTACCCAGTGAAACTAGGTAGCCGTAAGATGAAACGACCTCACAGCTTGCAATCTTGGTAATCTCCGGGGTATTGCTATTGCTTCTGTCCACTATCATCATTTTGATTTTGTGCCTGTTGATTCGGAGACCAAAACTGAAGGCAACTGTTTAGACGCGATTTAGCAATTCGGCAATCAGATCTTTGCTTGTAGCCAGCAGAGTAGTATCGTCAGCATAACGAAGGTTGCATATATTTTTGCCACCAATGGGCACACCATCAGTCCAGTCATCTAGAACGATTGTCATAATTGCCTCGGTGTAAATGTTAAACAAGAGAGGTGACAAGATACACCCTTGCCGG